AGTCTTTGATTTGCTCACCCCGGAGGAGCGTATTTAATTTGCTTGTCTCGGAGAGGAGTCTTTGATTTGCTCACTCTGGAGGGAAATCTTTGTTTTACTCGGTCGATTAGAATTTTCGGATTGTCGGCTTAGATGCAGACGCCTGTGAACATTTTGAGTTCCTCGAGTCTCTGTCGAACCTAGGAAAATAAAATAAGAATCGAGTGGTGTGCATGTGAACATATATAAATATTTAAGAATTGAGTGATACATATGTAAATCTTCTCCGATATTGAGATGACTGACCTGTGGAAGGTGATCGGACGGAGGAAGGTGACTGGCAGGAGGAAGGTGACCGACCGGAGCAGCGGTCGATCGAAGGGTAGCTTGCTGAAAGTACAAACAAATTGAGTGGTATGTACGTAAATATACAAATGTATAAGAATTGAGTGGTATGTATGTAAATTTCCCTGTTTTTGAGGTGACCGGCTACAAATCGAAGAGATGGTTGGCGGGTGGCCGGTCAGAGAAAGGTGGCTGCGCTGAGGCAAGTGGTCAGTTGGAGTGGTTGATCATGATAGAGCTCTTAGATCCGGACGGTCGGCCAGAAGAGTTAGTCAACCAGTGAGGCTGTCAGAGCAGCAGTCGATCGATGTGGTAGCTTTCAGTCGGTGTAGTGGCGGTCGGATAAGGGGAGTTAGTCATTGCGGGAGAGAAGATGGCTGGTTGGATTACAAGTGCAGGTGCACGGAAGACATTGCCGATTGGAACCTTTGCGTGGTAGAAACTGCTGACCGGGAGACAACCTGCTAGAGGAAAATGTCACTCGGCAGGGAAGTCTGCGGGAGAGAAGATGGCTGGTTGGATTACAAGTGCGGGTGCACGGAAGGCATTGCCGATTGGAACCTTTGCGTGGTAGGAACTGCTGGCCGGGAGACAGCCTGCTAGAGGAAAATGTCACTCGGCAGGGAAGTCCAACCGACGGTCGATCAGTGAGGTGATCGGAGCAATTCTTCGCTCGAACAAATGAAAAATAAAGGGCGGCTTTTGCGGGGAGACGACTAGTTGGAGAGGCAAACCTGCGCACAACACAGGGTCGGACAACTAATCGGTCCGGACTGCAAGTTGGCCTAACGACCAGGTGGCCAGGCAGTGACGTGATCTACACATCTCTTCGCGCGACAAAAGGGGGGGCGTGCAGGGATCTTCAGCGCGACAGATGGAGGACATAGAGGGCAATCCGGTGGGAACAATCAGTGTGGCAGACGGAGAGAGGGCCTACCAATGGAAACAATCTACATGGCAGGCGGAGAGAGGGTCAGCCGGTGAGGAATACATGTTACTTCAAAAAGTATGAGCCCCTTTCTTTATCTGTAGGTCACTTCTCAATACTATTCACTCTACCTTTTATGTTGTTTATATAAGGTTCATTTAACAAATTTAACTCTGACCAAGAAAATAACTCAACCCACAAACCATAGGTCAAGGAAATCGAATTTTCAAACTGAACTAAATATTGTGCGACAGATGAAGAGAGGGCTGGTCGGTGAGGCAGTCAGCCAGTGGGAACAATCCGCACGACAGACAAAGGGAGGGTCGACCGATGAGGAATACATGTTACATCTAGAGATACGTGCCCCTTTTTTTTATTTGTAGGTCACTTCCAATATTATTCACTCAAGCTTTTTGTTTTTTATATAAGATTCATTTAACAAATTTAACTCTGGACAAGAAAATAACTTAGCCCACAAATCTAGGTCAAGAAAATCATGAAACTAAACTAATTATTGTGCGACAGAAGAGAGAGTCGACATGTGGGAAAAATCCATGAGAGAGAGAGAGGTCGACCAAAGAATTTAAATGCTTTGGCAACATTCATGGACTGTGCCTTCGCGTCAAGCTTCTTTGATGAGACCTTAGCAGGCGTTGCCTCCTCAGAAGCAGAAAATCTCCCATGAGTTACTAATCAGAAAGAAAAATCATAGGCTTGGTCTCCATTAGATCTATCAAGAAAAGTGAGAAATTTGATGTATTGTTAAAAGATTCCTGCAGATCTATGGGGAAAGAGACAAATTTTCTCGAATATCGTCGATAACGATGAATGAATTGAGTGAATTCGTTGTTGTGGAAGTTCCCCTCATGCGCTCTTTGTCCTGAAGAGTTTTTCCTCGGTGTTGCTCATCTTTTTTGTTGACAGTACGTTCCACGCTTATTTTAGCTTTTAGGATGTTGAATCCAAATTTGTACTATGAATCATGTCTAATGATCGAAGCGGTAGGGACCTTGAGTGATAATATTAAAGAAATAGAGAAGGGAAAAGAAATATCACACATAAACTTGCCCTGTAGAGGCGAACTGGGATGTTTTCAGGCTTTTTGACCCATTTTGTATATAAAAAATAAATGTAACATTAAGAATGGGAGAGACTTCTCCCTACATAAGCAAATGTCCTATTTATCGATGATAGATGGATAAAAAGTGTAAAAATTATATCATTGCCCCCTGAGAGTTACAAGTTATTATGTCCCTAAGAGTTACCAATTATTATTGTCCATAAGAGTTGCCAGTTATTATTGTCCATAAGAGTTGCCAGTTATTATTGTTCTTTAGAGTTACTGGTTATTATTGTCTTCATTGACACATTTTTGTATATCCGACACATTTTTGTATGTCTGACACCATTTCATTGCTAGGTCCATTCGGCAATGTGGCTGGTCCGACTGACCGAATGAGGTGGTCGGCCGGTCTTTGCTACCGTCTGATCTCATTTAGATCCATGTAGACATCTTCTTGCTCTACAAGCTAAGTTATTTTCTCTCTTCATACTTCGCTCCTCTATTTGAAAATTCAACTTTATGAGCGCTGTTTAATGTTGTTGAGAGCGAGATTTTTCATCTCAAACTATTCACCTTTGCTAAGAGACATTACTAAGCGGGTTGTCAAGGAGTGGTTGGTTCCATGCCCTATAGTTAGGATAGTGTAACCTTGAAGATTATGCTATTAATGGGCTTCTCTCTTTAAGCAGAAACACTGTGACTTCATATCCGTTAAGGAGAAATTATTTGAGAGATCCTCAGCATATAATTGCAAAAGAGAGCTCGTCATGAAAATTAAGCATTAACGTGCAACAATAGATATAATTACACTATTGCTTTAAGCTTTTGCACTTTATTTACTATCATTTACATAATTGTAATTACCATCATTAAAACGTGAAAAAAAAAGCAAGATCTACATTATCGCATATCATTATTATCCTACAAAGAAAGAAAGAAGTTAGATTAATATCAATGCAAAAAACCTTTATCTTGTGAATTTAAACAAATTAGTTCTTAAAATATTTTTTTTCAAAATAATCTTATTCAACCATCTCTTGGCTTGTAACCATCACCGTCATTTACTATTGTCTACACAAACCTACCACCATCATGAGTTCCATGGTCACTCCAAAACTCCAAACCATCATACATATATTTAATTACTACATGAAAATCTTTGACATGCATCTTTTTTATTTATTTTATGCATGACAAATCAGTTCTAAGGTACATCCTTCTTAAGATTAAAAAAATCATAAATACAATGAAAGGTGAACATAAACTATTTAAAATACTTAAACAGTTATTTAATTGGTTACAAAATAAATAAAAGAGATCATTTTCGTGTGTAGAGTTGAAAGTCAAAGAAATCTAAATTTAAAAAATATTTAAACAAACCTAGGGCACAATAGCGAGGCAATTCTAATAGTGCCAATGGCGGTTTAGGCATAGTGAGATTGGTAGGCATGTGGCTTTGTGGGGTCGAGGAGAGCAATAGGTCAAGCAAAGAGCAAATGTAAGATCACGAGGTGGTGCAAGGTGGGACAAATGTAGGTCAAGCAAAGAGCAAATGTAAGATCACGAGGTGTTGCAAGGTGGGACAAATGTCGAGCCGCGTGGATGAAATTGCAAGGAAGGACAGAAGTCGTTAGGATGGCTGGTGTCACGTGCAAGTTACTCGAGGATGGAGGTTGTAGGTATAAGGTATTGTGAGGTAGGCAAGGCCACAAAGATTGTTGGCATTGTGTGAGTCTCGATGGAGAGGCGGGCTGTGATTGAGCAAGAGAAGTCACGCATTGTAGTCTCCTGATGGTGTGATGCTATGTATTTTGAATTTGCCTGATTTGGGTGAATTCAAAAAACCCCAAAAATGAATGAAGAGATTCCAACTCTCTAAACAATTTATTGTGTATTTATTTTTCTTTTAATAAAACAAGTATAATTTCTAAGCCTTGACATTTTATTTACTCTACAATCCTAATACATTAAAACAAACAAGCCATAAAATATTTCATTAATTATCTTAGCACAAAAATACATCCATATTAAAGCTTCAAGGCACATAGTCAAATTAATTATTTGACAGCAATACGACATTCCCCATCTTATGAGCTATTACCCACTTTCAAACCTTCTTGCATGGATCATAAAGTTTGATTCATCTATAATTATCATAATACTAAATATCTCCTTTCTACTATTAATAATATACGGTACCAAAATATTTCTTCGATCATTCAATATCATCTTGCTCCTCAAAATTCCATTAAAAATAAACACTTACTTCCCTACTTCAATATCCCTCCCACAACTCTCCAAATTACAAATCATCTCATCTAGGTCCAAGGTCTGCATGCATGCATCTTCTTCATACCAAAATACTTCACCAACCATTTCGTAAATGGGTAAATCCACATGCATTTTATCCCGTGGAAAGCATTACACATAAGAAATATGTTCTTATTATCTAAATGTGCAGGCTTTTAGCTAAGACTCTGCAAAACTCTTGCATCATACGAGCAATACAACAACAAAAATAAGCCTTTATCCCACTAAGTGTGGTGCATCACACCAGCAATAAAAATCTAAACTCAGTCACATAACATAGTGCTATAACCTTAAGCATCTTTACATGCCAATCATGAATTATAAAGTACAATAGAAATAAAAGCAGGGAAAGGAGTTGGCTTAAAGAAACCTTACAGCAAACAGAACATCCATGAATCTCTGTAGATTTCATCCCTGCCTTTTCCCCTTTAGCTCGGGGTGCCAGTGTGCCTCATTCGGGAAAAATTGCAGACGGGCATTAAAACTACCAGGAAAATGGTTCTCCAAGGAGCCTCCCGCTGCTGCTGAAATTGGAAGAGTGTTACCCAGAAAGCACGGCAGGTTTGAACCGTGGATAAGTTGGCAGTGATACGGAGAATTGGACTGAAGGGTCCCCCTACTAAATCCAGTAAAACCAGACGAAATGGAGACATTGAGGTTATAATCTCCTCGAGGTGCCAAAGCTGACACAGGAATTGCATGATCCTGCATGAAAGAAAACTGCTTCAAGTCGTGATGCTCTCCTGTATTGCATGTCACCATTCCAATTCCCATATGAGGATTGCTCCCAAAATGCAGTACTGAAGAGTGCCCTGGTTCAAACTGCTGAATTTTGGGCGACTCCCCAAAGATCCCAACTTGCCTAAAATAATCTGCGTAGGAATTAGTCAATGGCGGCCTCATCTGCTTCTTCTTAAAACCACTGCTGAAATCCACTACCTCGGCCACAGCAGCGCTGCCGTTGCTGCTCCCACCGACCTTGAGAAGCACAGTGAAGGAGCTCTGTTTGCTCAGATTTTGATGCTGATATATCAAGTCCTCATCCTTCTCCTTTCCAATGCCTTCAAACCTGGAGGACAGCACCGATCCCTTACTCATCTCTGATGCGCTGCTGCAAGTAGACTTGGACTGCGAGAAATGCTGCTCGCCGGCCGCACCTGTCTGCATCGAACGAGCGGGAACCTCCACAGGCGGCGGCACGGGGAATGGGCCGACGAGCTCCGGGAGGTCGATGATGGAATCCGCGGCGGCCTTGATGAGCCATTCAACAGCCTTGCTAGGCTGATCGTAGCCGAGACGGTCTTGAATATCATAAAACTGAATCGCGGTGGAAACCGAGAGCCGCACGCGACGGTCTCGAAGCCCCTTCACCGTCCACACTTTACTGTGACGGTCCTTACCTCCCGAGACGCGCGAAACCCTAATAATTCTCGACGATGCATTTTGCCACGGACTAACATCACCAACTCCCTCGCCGTCCTTATCCCTCCCGAGCCGTTTGCTCGAGTGGATCCCCTCCGTCTTCATCCTGCTACCATGCCCTTCTCTGCCACTGTTCTTATCCTGCCCGGTTCTTCTCGAAAGACAAATCCTCTTTGGTTTTTCACTCTTCCTGCAGCTTTGTAGGGATAAGATGGGAGTGGGATTAGGGTTTTTACCGTGTATTTTTCCATGAGTGAGTTTGGCAGAGGGGGTAAAGAAAAGTTGGCCTTTTTTTATCCTCGATAAAGGGGTGCAGCTCCTGTCTCATCCGTGCGGAGCGACTCGCTTTTGAGTAACACCTGAAATATGAAAAAACAGCCCAGTAACATAAAGGGGTGCAGCTCCTGTCTCATCCGTGCGGAGCCACTCGCTTTTGAGTAACACCTGAAATATTCTCAGAAAAAACGGCGCAGTTATACTATACGGGGGAAAATTCTCCCCCGTGTTATTCATGTGTTATTGACGTGTTATTATGTTATTATAACATCAGGAATATTCCCAGGACACAATAACACATGAATAACACAGAGGGGAATATTCCCCGTGTTATTACGTCGTTTTTTTTCTCTATCGGGCGGGGTGTCGTGACGTAATTTCATTGACTACGCACGTTACTCTACGTGCGTAGTACTGACGTAATATTTTTTTCCCGCAACGAACAACTCTTTTGCAGGTGCACTTTATTGCTGTATACACTCTGCAGTCTTCCAGGTGTGGATCATCAAAAATATTATATATATA